CAGGCGTTGTGGTGGGCACCTGTGGTCCCAGCTACTTGGGAGGCTGAGGCAGGAGACTCGCTTGAGCCCAGGAGTTGGAGGTTGCTGTGAGCTGTGATACAACGGCACTCTGCCCAGGGGGACAGCTTGAGGCTCTGTCTCAAAAAAAGAAAAGAAAATACATTAAGAAAATGTATTTAATACACCTGGCCTGCTAAGCATTATAAAACTTCCTCAGCACACTTAGCCTGCAGTTGGGCAAAATCATCTAACACAGAGCATGTTTTATAGTAAAGTGAATATTTCGTGTGATTTATTGAGCACTGTACTGAAAAGTGAAAACAGAATGGCTGTGGTATGTGAGATGCAGTTTATACGGAGTCACTTTTGTATCTTCGCAAAATCAGAAAATCTTACGTGAAACCATGTCCAGTGGCAGAGCGTGAGTGCTTGTTTTTGAACTGATGGTTTGCAGCCTCCCGACCAGGCCTTCTCATTTAAACTGCAGGACACAGGGAGTGGTGCGAGAGAGAATGTGAGTGGAGACCAGCAGGGAGGCTGCTGTCACAGGCCACAAACTTCCTTCTCTCTGGGAGCCCCGGGCTGCAGGGCGACCTCACAGTCCTCACTCTCAGGGCTCCACTCAGAGCTGGGCCATCTCCTGTGAGGGCGAGATCCTGAGCTGCACTTTGACTGGTGTGCTGGATCCAGCCATCCTGCCTCCTGAGCCAGCTGCCAAGCCTCCCGGAGTTAATTTTGCTGCCTGATGTGGCCTTGGCAGCATGGTCAGTATAGTGGGGAAGTTGGCAGGTGCTGCAGGTCAGGGACTCCCTCCCTCGCGGGGGTCAGGCCCCTAACCACAGGCTCCAGCTGCATAATCCAGTCCACCCTGTTGGGGTTGCGTCTGTATTTTAAAGTTTAAGGGAAAAAATGATGGCATTTCATATTATGTTTTCTATTTCCACTACTCTTACTCTTTCCTGAAAATTTGAGTTTCCCGTCTCATGTCCCTGAAGAACTTCTGTTCTCATTTCCTTTAGTCCAGTTCTGCCCAGCATGGATTTTCTTAATTTTTCATTCATCTGAAAGCACCTGTGCTTCACCTTCTTTCTTGCCGGTGTGGGGCCCCTGGTCTGTTCAGCTCAGTGGTGCCATCTCACGGCCTGGCGAGAGTCTGTGCGGTGTCTGCTGCGCGCTGCTCCCTGGCCGCCTGGAGTTCCTCTGTCCTTGGTTTGGAGTCGGCTGTCTGTGATGTGCTGGGTGGTCCTTGGTTTGGAGTCGGCTGTCTGATGCGCTGGGTGTGCTTTTCTAGTATTTTGTTCCTGCTTTGCTGAGTTGCTGCTGCTTTTTAAAAAACTTTTCTTTGTTTTGTACCAAATCTGGGGATTTTCTCAGCCATTATTAAAATACCGTTTCTTCCTCCTCCCTTCTCCTGCACGTCTGAGATGGCAGTTTGTATGTGTGATAACCGTTAGCTTTCAGCCCACAGATCACCAGGCTCTGCTATTTTTTCCATCTTTTTTCTTTCTTCAGATTGGACACTTTTTTCCATCTGT